GGCTGTTAAGCAAACACATCAAAGATAATTGCCGGAACGGCTTATTTTGTTTAGTTTTCTGATTGCTGAAAACTCACAACAATGTTTTATAATTCTCATCATCCAAGGTCTCCAATGTAAAACACATTCTAAAACTTCACTTCATAATTTCAGTTGCCATTGCAAAATCTTTTCTAATGGCTTTATGCATGAATCTTCTGTCATCTTGTGTATTATATCCATTGAGGTGATGGGAACGCAATTGTTTCTGAAAGTGAACAGCAGCAATCACGTGATACATGACACATGGTTTTGACCTGGCCAAAGGCATGACCCCCTAGGTCATACTAATTCTATACAATAATTTTGAATATGGTAAGTCACATCTCAATTGCAATAATTGTAAAGTTATATATTAAAAAAAGACATTAAAATTTGGATTTATGGTTTTTCAAAAGACATTTTTAACAATTTTTTATGCAACTTTTTAATTTTTTTTGTAAAAAACTGCCCCTTGAGGTGGGTCCTAGCACATATTCATGGACATAACACTATTTAAATCATATTATATAAACTAATAATAATAAATTGCACTCTGGCAAATTTTCCTCTTATGCCATCTTTTCTAAATAAAGTTAAATTTTATTTTTTTATAAAAGTAAAATAAAATGAATTTCTTCTCTTCAAACTTCATATTTTTTTAGAACAAAACAAATAAGCACAAATAGAAAAAATGTAAATTTCAAGCAATGTAACAAGTTTGATTGCCAACACAAATTCATAAAAACATTACAATTTTCAACCTTCAAAGCAATCAAAATTTGGTTCTTTAAAAGTGCATAGCATTTAACACAAAAAAACAAAAAAAAAAAACAAAACAAAACAAAACAAAACAAAACAAAAAAAAAAAAAAAAAAAAAAACCCAAATTTAACACAAAAAAAAAAATTAAACCCCAAAAATCGCAAATACATAAATGTTAAAAAATATATATAAAAAAAACTGGAAATAAAACATAGATAATGCAAATGACTTGAGGAATTGTTTTGTTGGTTACTATCACCCTGCAAAATAAACATCAACACTCCAAATCCTTACCTAGAGTAATCCTGCCTACCACATCAAAAAAACAAACAAACAAAAAACAAAAAAGAAGCACAGATATAAATACATATGCTCCACAAAAGGATGCATATGAGGATGCACAAATATTTATTTGACATATTTTTTTATTTGACACCCCCCAAAATATTAAAAAAATAAAAGCAAAATGGGTGTCCAGAATAACAATCAAAGCAAGTCTTACAACACTAATTTTTGGTGTACAGCTTTTGCTTCTCTGTGCTCGTGTGGATTGCTTCTCACTTCTGCACACTCTCCCATGCCTGCTTCCAAAATTGTTCCCTGCAACAACAACTACTAAAAAACAAAAACAAAAAAAATTAAGAAATTAAAAAAATTGTTCCATGCTCTTTGTTTTTGCTCACATTTTCTTGCCCTGCTTTGGTCCATGATTGACCCTTCTTTATGCAAACTCTGAACAAAGCAGATTCTGAGAGATTGTTGTCACACCACATCCAAATCCTTTTGAAAACAGACACAGAGTTGGCAATTTTATAGGGTTAAATAATTTATCCTCCACGTCCTTAAAGCTGAACTTCTACCCATTCTGCCTTCACATTTGTAGCAAATGTCCTCACAAGTCCATGCAAACTTGCAATAGGAACCTTTATAGTTCCCCATGTCAGTAGTTCACAATCTGGGTAGAGGAAGTGGAGCCAATTTAGGTAGACATTTAACTTGTTGAAGAAACAAATTTTTAGGACTTTCTACACTAATTTTCATGTATCCTCATAGCAATCACAATGGGTATACTTTGTGCATTTCAAATTAAACAAATAAATAAATAAAATCAAAAGTTGTAACATAACATTATTACTTATCAATAAATGCTAGTGTGTGTATATATATATATATATATATATATATTCATATTTATTTATATTTATTATGATTATAGTATTCTTCAAAATCTAGGTATCATTCAATTCTTTTGTACAAAAATTAATAAAATTGTGTCAACTTTCAAATGTATTTTTCACCAAAAAAGTTAATTTACAAGAAAGAAGAAAAATAAGTGAACAACTAAAAGAAATGCTACAACACTAAAATTGCAAAGTAAGATGATATGAGCCTTGTACAAACTTATTTACATAATCAAATTTGGTACTACATGTCTAAAATCCTTTTCTACACATGTTTTCTTTGACAATGCCATCCTTTTTTCTACAATGTTTTTGGCAATAACAAACAATTTTAAATATTTCTACCTTTAAACCTTCCTAAATATTTTAAACCAAATTTTGTATTGAACCTCTTGTGTTGATCATGTGTGAACCTGTTTATTAAACCATATGCTGCTGTATGCTTCCTTGTAAAATAATTCAAGCATATTATTCAACTTTTGGTTACTTGCAAATGAAATGATATTATATGATTTGTCCCTAAACAATTTAGGATTTATTTCCACAAGTGTTTTGCATTATTAGTCATTTTTTTCATCCTTTCCATCTCTCTATAGAGCAATATTGATTTTTAATGGAATAGTATGTTGTCATGTATTAATCCTCTCCAGCTTAATATAGAAAATGGGTTGATGTTAGTGGAAAATCTTTTCTATATATACATATTTATATATAAACAAATAAATGAAGAATCTTCAATTTTTATCTTCAAAATCTCTTGTTAATGCATTAAGCATCTCATGTTTATGTTCTTAGACCATAAACTTCAACAACCTTTTCTTGACATGCTATGAAATATTAAGTGACTTGCAACTGTTTTTATGTGCATGTGTTTGTGAATTAATTGACAAAGATAGCACACACAGCTTGATTCTTCACTCACTCATGTAAATCTTTTGATATCAACCATCTTTAAAGATCATATTCAAATAATGCTCAAGTACTTTTATTTTTTTAAAGGGTGAAACCATAAATTTATATACATATGTATATAAATAATCACCATCAACACATGTCCATACTATTATTAAAATCTACTTGCAAAAAAATAAAAATCTATGTTTTATTAAAACTTCCTTAAATTATTTTTATTTTATTCAATTTTTTTAAGTATATTTATCTTAAAATACATCAATCTATCAAATTATATATATATATATATATATATATATAACAAAATCACTAAAAACATACATCCTTTCATAATATAAAAAATTGTATAGCCCTTTCATGTATGGCACTCAGAGCAAAGGTTGCCCATTCTCAATGTATATTGCCTTATTTTGTGTCAAAATATTTTTCACCATGTTATCCTTTCACATATATTCCCTTGTTTTGTATCATTTTTTTTTCTTTTCTTTTTGAGCAATTAGACGGGTTTTTGGTAACATACATACACATATATTAATTGCATCTATTATAGTCTTTTTTTGATAAAAAAATCTCAATATTCATATTTTTTATTATAATGAATGAGTTGCATACTTCTTGCATGTTTGTTTCTACTTGCCACATTTAGAAATTGTAAAGCATCATGTGAAGAGATTTTGAAAATTTTCACATTTTCATTTTTTTACCAACAAAAGTTAAAATGTGGTTTGTTTACTATTTTTTATTTTTTTATTTTTTTTACAGATTTTGAATTCTTGACCAGTTAATAACAGTCATTCTTTTTTAATTGTAGTTTTTTTTTGGTTGAGATGTGGTTTTGAAGATTCACAAGACCAATACCTTTATTTCTTTTTATGATCTTTCGTGCAAAACATCTAGAATTAATTTTATGCAGATTTCTCATTATCAAAATTAATAAATATTTGGGAGTTATACTTATCTTTACATAAATGTTTATTGATTTATCTTTCAAAAAGTATCAGTCTATTTTTTTAGCATCAGTCCAGATACCTTTAAAACATATCATACATATTTTATTTTAAGAAATTGTGCAATGATTCCATTAATTAATCTCTCTCTCTCTCTCTCTCTCTCCCTCTCTCTATCTATCTATTCTTTTAAAAGTTTCAATACAAGACTTCATTGTCACTTAGGTAGTCACAAGTAATGTCAAATGTGTTCAGACAAACTTTGGTGTAGAAGCATTTCATCAAGTCTTAGTATTTTATGTGAATAAAAATAAATAAAAAATGAGACACTTACAAAATATGAAAAAAAATATATGAAATTAGTCATAATAAAAATAATAAATAATAATGTTCTTGAAGAAAGTAAAACTTATTGATTATTACATATCAATTTACATCTATTTCTTTTTTATGTCAACACTTTAAAAAAAATAGTATAAAATAGTATTATTTTAAATTAAAAAATATAATTACATATTAAAATTTAAAAAAAATAATCAAACACCTTATATAGATTAAAAAAAAGTGGATGAACAATATTAGGATACATTTGTTTAAAAGACAAAGTCATTTCTATCCATAGCTATTCTTTGTAATGCACCAATGCTTTTATTTATTTATCTATGTTTGTTTTTGTTGTTTATTTGCAACCACCTTCCCTATCTCTCATTAAATTTCCCATAAAAAATTAAAAAAATAAACTCTAAAAGGAAAAAGAAAAAAGAAAAAGACGAAAGGAAAGGAAAGGGACAGAAGGAGCTAGAAAGAAAAAGAAATGGTATAAAAGAAAAGGAAATGAGAAGTAAAAGACTCAGAAAGGGAAAGAAGAAGGTGTAAGAGAAAGATATGAAGGGCGTAAGTCACGCGCGACCGTATTCTATTCTATTGTACTCTACTCTATTGGTCTTCTACTTCCCTTTCTCTTTCTATTCTAGTCTATTCTGCTGCTATTTTATTGTCGAAGACTGGCAGATTGATAGCGCTGCACCGAGCTCTCTCTCCCTCGTGTCCGTTGAATAGTAACAGCACCACCTACAGCAACAATCCCGCACTGTCGTTACAGTAGCTACAGTACTAGATGTGCCTCATCAACAATGTGCACGGCGACGACCCCGAAGAGCATCTGCAGACAGAAGAGTCTTCTTCTTCACAGGCGCTGCGTGCGTGCTACTATTCAAACGTCCTGTTGCACCGGCGGATTCCTCGTGATCATCGCTCCCCCTTCGTTCGGAAGATTCCATGCAGCGGATTGCAGTCCCACAACCCCCACAGTCAGAAGCTAGAACGATTCCGAATTGGGTACGCGAGCCACGCAGCAGCATCTGAGATTCTTGCCTCTTTCACGAGCTCTCTTGCACTTCCCGCGCGTCGAGTGTCGAGAAGAAGGAGGTGCTGATTGTCGTACAGCTTGAGCGAGGTCTTGTGAGTGAACCGATCTGTGTGAGGTTTTGCGGGGAAGCTGAATTCGTGCCTGGGTGACGCGAGTCGCAGCTCAATGTATGCTAGGCATGAACTAATGTTGACGCTTGATGTCGTGCGTCTGGTTGGGGATGAGGATTCGTCCTCGGTATGCTTCAGCTTAGTGGTCGGCGAGGACCGGATCCATGGGAATCGAGGATTGGGGTTTGGATTTCGCAATATATCCAGCTGGAGATTTGCAGCGAGGATGGTGTACTGAGGTTTCTGTACCCGTAAGGAAGCTAGCAGCTGAAGTTATCTCTGTCTGTTTTTTGAGCTCTTTCATGACTGGAAAAAAAGTGCCGATGATAGTCATTCTGGCCGGATCTTGTATTTTTTTTGGTGTCGATGCTGGCCCACATTACGCTTGACTTCAGACATTCTCGTGGTTCATTGGGGTAATGCTCGGAGTGGATCGAAATGTTTCCTCCGTCGTAGCAAAACCCAGTATTATGTCGAACAGTAGCTAAGCCTGGAGGCGCTGAGAATGTCTTTGGCTCGGCTCATTATTTCCTGCGAATCACGCTATCGAAGCTACGGATCGAGACATGAATGCTGAGAGTACTCTTGTATGTGAATGCGTACACACAAAAGATTCATGTTCTGGAAACCCTGGGAAATCCTCGGAGAGCATCACAGCAGTAGCGCTCGAATTTGTTCCTAGCAAAACTATTGAGCTTTGCAGCGTGGATAGCGAAATCAACAGGGGAAATGCAATAGACGAGTGCGATGGGAAGTCGTTGTCAGCTCCAGGGAAGGTCTGGGTGCGTGCTGCGAGGGTAGCCTGCATTGAGAGCAACAAGCTGAAGCACCATGGCTCGAATAATCGACTCTTCATGCTTCATTTGGGCTGTCGTAGAAATACTTGTACTCTCGAAAGTGGATCTCCTTCCGCTTTGTCTAGCCCTTAATTCCGAAGGTATAATCATCAAACTCCTCCAGCTGCTTGTAAGGATTGAAAACTAAGAATACTGCAGAAAGTGCTATCGGGAGCCGTATCAGAGCTTACCAACATGGCACCTCCATGTTTTGCAGGATTGGCACTCTGGGAATTCAGAAAAATGGTACAAGGTCCAAGCGGAACCCTGAACGGCTGGAATTATTCCGATGAATCTCCTTGCGATTGGAGAGGTGTCGTTTGCGATAATGTCACTAATCACGTCATCAGAATGTAACAGACCTGATCTCTCCTGAAAGCTCTTGCATTATGAGATCAATGCATTAGTTTAAAATAACCATAGATCACAGTCCCAATCTCGAATGATTCATGCAGAAATCGGAAAAATTAATTTTGTGGTTGCTAATTTTGTGCAGCAACCTGCCAAGAGCTCGATTAACTGGGACAATCAGTCCTCGGCTGTCGGAATTGTCTCAGCTGCGTCGGCTGTAAGCTTCTACATATTTTGTGTTTTTATTGTGATTAGTAGTGCAGCGGAGGTACCACGGACAACTTTTTTCAGCTTTGATCCTAGGAATGTTGATCATCCTTCGAATTTGGCATGCATGAACTGAGCTTGTGAAAGAATTGGCGTTTTTGACAGGGGACTGCACGCGAACAATATCACTGGGGCTATTCCATCCTTCCTAGTAAACCTCACATACTTGCGGACCCTGTGAGTGTTGCTGTTTAAAACTCCCTTGGTGTTATGGTTGAAAGATAAGTGGAATGTGGATGGACTGGTCATGATCGAAAGATTAGGCACTCGCAGGCAATCTCATGCATCTTGTCAGCTGGAAGTGGATTAAATTCTTGTGCACGTGAATGGATGCAGGTACTTGCATAATAACAACTTGACAGAGACGTTACCGGATGTATTAGGGATCATGCCAGCTCTCCGAATACTGTGAGCGTCTATGACATTTGATGGTTGGATATATATATATATATATATATATATAACTGCTTGAATCTGTAAGGCATGAATTGATAGTCCGCTCTGCTGCGGAAGCCTGAAAAGTAGATGGAGGCTATTACTGTCCAATCCAAGTTCCGTGTGTGATGCTTCATTAGGGATGTATCAGGCAATAAGATCGAGGGACCCATACCAGCGACCTTCAGTGCCATGAACAAGCTCAAATTTCTGTAAGCTTAAGCTCAAATGAAGCTCTGATTAGTGTCCAAGTAGAATCATGCTCTTTGTTTGCCTGTAGTGTTTTTCTTACAATATTCAAAATGTTGTGAGTTGATGAGCGTTTACTGCTTGAATTGAGAGCAGTTACAAGTTTCAGTGGTTGGGTGGGAGTTAAGAGCTGATGTTCCAGTTCTTCAGGAACTTGTCGAACAACCGGCTCTCAGGCGAAGTTCCAGGTGGATCTATGCTTCGTTTCCCTGCATCCTCGTAAGCGCTTCAATTCCAACACATTTTATGATTTTAGAGAAGATTCGTGGCCTCTAATCTTACAATTCCGCTGTTTTTGCTGATACATCTTTGTGACCTCGTTCCAGCTTCGCAGGTAACAGCCTTCTATGCGGAAGTTCCTTGTTGGGCTTGCCTGCTTGCAAACCAGAAGAGGAGACAAAAACAGACCATAAAGGTTAGTAATTATTCTCCCCCGAAAATTTGTGCTCGCCATTGATTTGTAACCTGATTTTCCCCTAAATACAATTAGGATTGCTTTGGCCATACTTTTATGAGGTGGAATTGATCGTCACTTGCAGGGTCCCGATGGAGTGCCTGGAAAATACTGGTGCTGTCCATTGGAATATTCCTCCTCTTGAAAATGATAATCGCGCTGTTAATCCTCTGCCACTGTCTACGCCAAGACAGGAAACGCGAGATACAACTTGGAAAAGGTGACGTCCTTACCTCCAGAAGCATTGTTAAAGAACCGACAAATGATGGACGAAATACTAACGTTGAGGTTGCTGCATCGTGACATCAGAGGGCAAGTTGGTGATGTTCAGAGGAGAGACGGTGCCAAAGTCCAAAGCGATGCTCCAAGCAGTTCGTAAACTTCGCAAGAGAGACATCGTTGGAGAAGGTGGTTACGGAGTGGTCTACAAGACAGTGCTCAAAGATGGGAGGGTCTTTGCCGTGAAGAAGTTGAAGAATTGCTTAGAGGCGGCTATTGACTTCGAGAATGAGCTGGAGGCGCTTGCAGAGTTGAAGCATCGCAACTTGGTGAAGCTCAGAGGGTACTGTGTGTCGCCCACTTCGAAGTTCCTAATTTACGACTTCATTCCAAACGGCACTGTAGATCAACTCTTGCACCGTAAGTTTAACTAGATGGATTTAGCTCATGAAGATCGATGGCGTTTTCAAGCAACAAATGACAAGTTGATCACAGTTATTGACAGCTTCTGTTGAATTTATTAACCCTACAATTCCTGACCTGCAAATTTTACCTCGGCAGCACGCACGGAAGAAGGGGAGAAAGGTAATCCCGTGGACTGGGCAACCAGAATCAAAATAGCGCGTGGGACGGCACGGGCGTTGGCTTGCTTGCACCACGACTGCCAACCTCGTATCATACACCGCGATGTAAGCTCCAAAAATATATTACTGAATGAAAGATTTGAGCCATGCCTCTCTGATTTTGGCCTAGCCAGATTGATGGAAAACGATCACACGCATGTCACCGCTTCTGTTGGTGGAACATATGGCTACATTGCACCAGGTAAGTGAATCAATGCTGCAGCTATTGAATAAGATGTGGGAAAGCATTGGAAACTATTTGAAAGCTCCTTCTGCTGAAGTGCTCCTGTTACTCGAAACATAGAATTGCTTTATTCTGGTTGGTGAAATTTCCAATAATGTTTCGAAGCGAAACTCCGGTGATTACTGTAACGCAGAGTATGCGCAAGCTGGGCGAGCTACAGAAAAATCTGACGTGTACAGCTATGGCGTAATTCTGCTGGAGCTTCTCAGCAGGCGCAAACCTACAGACTCTTCCTTCTCTGCGCACCACATCAATATGGCCGGATGGGTAATCTCAATAACTCAAGTAACCTCTGATTCCAGCTAATGGATCGAATTTTAGCCCCCCTCTATTTCTACTTCAAATTGACACATCTCCCTTGATTGATATCTGTCAGTTGCGCTGTTTGAGGGAGAAAGGCCAGGAATTGGAGGTAGTGGAGAAGTATTTAAGAGAGACAGCGCCACACCAGGAGCTCGCAATCGCTTTGGAGATAGCTTGCAGATGTGTCTCGTTAACGCCGGAAGAGCGCCCACCTATGGATGAAGTTGTGCAGATTCTTGAGTCTCTTGCCAACTCGTCCGAGAGTACACAGCCCACAGTTACTGAAACCACCGCCACCTCTAATGAGACATGAGTTATGAAGCCTGTGCACAAACATATCTCCAATATCGGCCCTGACTTGTGGCAATCTCCTGTCCAAGTAGAGTCGACTGACACGTCGAGTCGAACATTGACAGCAACATGCCAATGAGAAAACGCGAATGAGCAGATACACATCAGTGCAGGGAGACTCTTTATGGCTCAGTGTAGAACATCGAGCACGGTTCATAACCAGTAAAGGTGCCCTCGCGAGCAATGATTCTACCCATCCACAACCACCCGCGGCGTTCAACCAAGAATATGAAATCTGTGTTCAAAACTTTAAGTTTTGAGACTGTTACGGTGAGTGAGCTTGAATTTCAGATGGTGGAGTCCCTCCCACATTTTCTGGTACCGAACTGGTAAGCTGCCCAACTCCGTTCAGTAGCTTGGAAGATCCAAGGCTCACAATTAGCGATGTGGACCTTGTTGTTTTCCGACGCTTGTTTGACCTACTTGGACGCCATATCCGCCATTGTCACCACTTTGGCCTGCAACAACGTCGACGTAGCTGTGATCTTAAGCTTCAGCTGACACACAATAACCAGCGCGAGTTCTCTACAGAAACCCTAATCCCACGGAGATATTCAGGAGCCCTAAATTTGTGAAGCTTTTTGGGGAGCTCAATCTGTGGAGAGAGTTAATTGGGGGATTTAGAGAGTGCAATTTTGAGGATGAAGGATTTGGATCATGATTGAACAAAGTTAATAAAAAAAAAATTTCAACTAAACAAACTAGATTCCAAATGTTAAGTTTTATTGTGTTAAATCAAATCAATCTATGATTAAAGTTTTTTTTATTTAATTTGAATCAATGTCTACAGTATCTTTAGCAGGTGTGCAATTACTGAAGAAGTATTATAAGATTTGAATTGATTTTGAAGTGGTAGTCAAATCCAACAATGTCAATTACATACTCTAACTTCCCAGATTTTTACAATGGTTACAAATACATTATTTGTGGTCATGAATCAGGGTAATAAAATGCGTGTTGCAATTTATAGCATCTACTTTCACATCTTTGTACTTGTAAATATGAAACATGGTGATTAAGTATTCTGCAAAATTCTATGTGTATTGCAACATTAAAGTAGAAGATGATATAATTTTTTTGAATATGTAGTGAATAATCACAATAACATCTAAGATGTATTTCTAAGTCCACTTTGAAATGATATGGTTCAAAAGTCTTATTAAGGTCCCCTTTAAAGTGAAAACAACACCCTCTATTGGAAATACAGTTTCAAAAGCTTTGGCTTTTGAAAATAGTATAAAACAAGAAGAGAATATAATTATACCAAATCGTTCTTTTATTACAAGTCCATACATGTTAATTTATATCTTGATTTTAACAACTATGAGAATTAAAAATAAAAATGTATATAAAAATTAAATTTTATAATTTATAGAATTTCAATGGTTTTTTAAACAATTTTTTATACTTCTTCTTAAATCTTTCTATAAATCACCTCTTGAAATGGGTCCAACATAAATTTTGGGAGGCAGTACTATTTATGCCATATTAAAAATCAAAAATGCATTTTGATTTTTCTAAATACAAAATCTACTATGCAAGGCATCTCAATTTGAACCAATTAAAGTATTAAAATATTTATAAAACTCCAAAACAATTACTCCAAAATTAAGCTATTTTCTAATTCCAGCATGTTTTATTGAGTTTTCCAGAAGTAGTTAAACGTGGCATAAAAATGATTTTGTTGGATCAGTTATAAATGGAATCGTTAGATAAGTTACAAAAATCACATGTTTAACATAGACAATGTATAAACTAAAACCGTCTTAGATTTAAAATGCCTACAATCTTGTAGAATTAAGAATCAACTTTCTCTTTTACATCTTTATTGGTTAAGAGTTATTAATGACTATAAAAATGAAAATAAAATAACTTCAACTTAAATATATTCTTTATTTGTAGAGTAATTTTGTGCCATGAGTTGTAATTATGACTTGAATTTGAAAGTTTCATATGCATATGCCTAATTCATCTAGATTTTTATATATGAGAAAATCTAAAATCAAATTATTATTTTTATTTATTTGAATTTGAACTAGTAATTTTTCTTACATTTTAAAAATCTGTAAACCAAAATAATGTGAGTATTATCTATAAATCAAGAATCTGTAGGAATTCACTTCAACCTTTGATTTTTGTATAAAAAATAGCAATCAATTCAATTTTTTCAACATTTGAAATGACAATATTAATTACTCTATTGATAAATAAAGACATTTTTCTATAATGATTTCATACATTCTAACAGCGCTAATTATTATCATTTAATATTTTCATAATTTGAAAGCAATAGAAAATATTTGAATGTCAAGTTTTGATTTGATAAAACATTGTTGTATATCACAATATCTATTTATGAAGCACATTGTGTATTTCAGTATGATGTAGTACACTATGAAATGATGAACAATTCAAAAGATATTTGCAAATTCTTTCAATCTTTTAGTTGAAATCTCCAAACCTTCAGTAAAATAAAAAAATATGTTAAACGTGAATACCACATCAAACATATTATTAATTTTTGACCAAGATCGCATACAAATAAACACTTTGTCAAACACATTCTATGATATTAGCTTAATTAAAAACAACACATAATACATAAATGAAACATCATTCATATCCACACAAAAATCAACAAACAAATAAACCCATCAAACTATTGCCAAACTATTCTTATTCAACTAATTTTACTTATTTATTCACTATTAGTCGACATGTACATGTAAGAGGATATCAATGTTTGCTTAATGGATTGCGTTCAAAAAATATTAAGAAAAAATTGTTTTCTTTCTAATTAATCCATTAAGCAAACATTGATTTCTAATCATTCCATTAAGTAAAGGGAGCTTGAGCGGCAACACTGAGCTGCAGGAGAGCGCGCGGGAGAGCGATTTGGCGCCAACATTCTTCCCGCTATAAAATATCATTCATCTAAATGAGGATGTCGTCCAAAAAATAGGTGAACGACGTCCGCGGCCACCGGCGCTTGCTTGGGCTTTGTTTCGGCTAAACCCAGAATGGCGATGGCGGAGCCGGGGATTGGCGTTGGGATCGATCGCAAGCCATGGAGCCGTCGAGAGTATGGAAGAATTTGTTGACGGGTAAACAGGCTGTGCGGACCGTGGCATGTCCGTCATGCGGAGGTCAAGTGCCGGAGTTTCGTATTCATTCTCATCTGGATACTTGCTTGACGACTTTGCCTTCGAGCATCCCTGAAGATGTCGAAGAAGAAGAAGCAGAAGAAGAAGCTGCGCAGCTCGGCAATGTGGGTGGTGAAGTGCGTGAACTCAGCGATGGTGGGGGTGGTGCGCAAGTTCATCTTCGTAAGAGACAGGTGGTGGGTCCTGCGAGAGGGCAAGGACGGGGGAGAGGGAGAGGGAGGAAACGGAGAGAAGTGGTGGAGAAGAAAGGGCGCAACGGGGAGAATAGCGGCGGACGGAAGCGGAAGGGTTCTAGGAATTTGAATGTAGAAGGTGGGAAGGGGAGTGATGCTGCTGCATTGGTTGACGATGATGATGATGAAGATGATGACGTTGAGGATTATTCCTTCTATCGAAATTGGGAGTACTCTGTCGCAAGGTTGGACGAATTGGAGAAATTGAAACGGGAAGATCCTTTGAGCGAATTGCAGAAGAAGGAGCTCCGGAGGTCCGGTGTGCTCACAATTGAGCGCCAGGAGGCGAGTGCCGTGATTCTGAAGCTAGATCGCCTTCTGGCCGACTTTAAGCCACCGGAAGGGTCGTCGGCAGATGATGTTTCCATAATGAGCTTCAAGATAAAATCGGGAGTTCGACCTGAAAACTTATCTCCTATGCCTGCGTTGAAGCAGCACAGCGTGCCACAACAAATTAGCTGCCCTGCAGATCGGTATGAAATCGTGACACTTTGGGAAGGTCGGTACATTTAGTGTTCGTTTTCGTCTTGGTCGTGAAGTCGGTGGAGGGAGTTTTGAGAATTGTGTATAAGCTTGGGTGGTCTTCACGATGTTAGGGGAGGTTAATCATGTAGACTTGGCACCGCATGTTTGATCTGTTGCAAGCTCTGCGGAAGCTTGGGTAGGCAGTATTTCAATTATAGAAGTATACACTAAGGATTGCAAAGACGAACACTGCTACATGGTGGTAAGCTCACACGTCTTTCATGGAAATGCTGAAAGAAGTTAGATTACTGGTGGTTGTAGGGCAAATCATTCTGAACCTGGACAAGACGAGGCGCTGGAAGCGTGGTGGCAACAGTGGGACATGGGGGAGTGGCCTGAAGGTCCTCTGCCTCCTGGATTTCATGCTGTATCCTGCTCTCCAAATATCATTTTCTTTACCAATTCAGACACCATCAACGCGATGGTGTGTATTATCTTCAGGTTGTCTGTAGTCATAGTGAGTGCACTTTCTGAAAACTATTGGATTGGAGGCCTTAACAGCGTAAACATCAGGGTCTTTCAGCTCTTCCTCCACAATTAGAAATCCAGTTGCCTGCAGCTCAGGACCTTCACATTGGTATAGATAAAACTGAGATTGGAAAACATGCAGCTCAAGAAGCGACAGCAGCTGATGCAGCATCAACGAAGTTACTGGCCAACCTGAAATTCAATGAAAGTGGGGGCATTGTCGGAGTAGATTCTTGGAACGGATTCTCGGATGTACAATTGATAAAGTCTCCTAGAAAAGCTGTCTCAGAGGTTGGGATGCAGTTTCGGTCGAAGGTTTCCACCAATGACAAAGTTAACGCTTCTGTGATGGCTGACAAAGTGCAACATGTAGTTACTTTCTTGGGAGAACACCCTAGCTCAGTAAAAGCAACCGAGCTTAGTTCTCGCTCAAAACCGATGGATGTTGATCATTTAACTGTTGCTGAAACCTCGACTGCTTGGGTGAGGCCGTCATCCCCATCCAGAGCTCCACCAAGCACTTCTGCAGCCATGAATGAAGCTTCTCCAGGTAAAGCTTAATCTTTAAAGAGCGATTTGGAAGGATCTCTTTCTGGAATTGTTCTAATGTTGTGTTCCTCGTTGCTAGTGTGGAACGCTTATCTGACTGTTCCAACTTAAGAACTTCTGGGATTCCTCCTTCTGTAGGAACAAGCATTCTTTTTGTTTGTTCAAGTACGAGGTTATTGGTAAGTTTGGTTACAGTAGCTCAATAAAACATTGTGCTTGCTTAATTTCGTTGCGTTGATTACTGCTCATTTGTTGTGGTATAGATTTTAAAAATTGATTTTTGTCAAGGAAATGTTCTTTGACTTGGATTTGGACGTGACAGGAATTCAAGCTTGCCCTATATGTAGTACCTCATTTCCACCAAATTCCAGCAACAGGAGTATTAACGAGCATATAGATGAGGTGGGCCAACTAAATGGTTTTGATGCAAACTTTTCGCAAAAGCTGCTATATCTTTGCTTTCTTTGCATGTACCAAGCTGCCCTATGGGTCTGTTTAATGTATTTAGAACCAGTTTCTGTGGCAATCTGGAGACCCCCGTGAATAGACCACCGTATGAACCAGAGGATCTCCATCGATCCTCTTTTATAGAAACCAGATTTTAACAAATATATTTGCTTAGCTACAAACCTTCGTGAAAGTTAGGAAGAGGCAATATTTTTAGCAGCATTTCAACGAATATTTTTCTACCACTTGTCTGAAGTAGGAGGCGAGTCATAAATCGGTAGGATTACACAAGCTTCTTCAAAATTGTCATCTTTGGATAGGTGCTTTGAGGCCCGTCTGAAAAGGAATATTGGCAAGAAAGCCACGAACTCTGAAACTAGCTATAACTGTCGCAATTATCAAGTGTCTTTCATAATATTTATGTGGATAGGGAGAAAAATTGATGCTAACGAGTCTTTGGTGTTTGCAGTGCCTAACTCAACTTGCAGAACTTCTCGATTGACGCGGGTGTGTTTGATGGAGGATGTATTCTATGGCCAATTTCTACTCAGTATGTGGTTCGATTGAAGTCGATAACTGTAAAATACAGTTAACATCACATTCATTACCCTAAGTACAACTCTCCAGTTTGGCTACGTAAATACCAGGTTGACCAGCGCGGAATTGTTTCCACCCTCTAGCCGTCACCTAGTAACTACATGACCGTTATCATTCCTCTCAAGCCTGGCGATGAAGATGGTGCAATTGCATAAGGACATTGTTTCTCAGTTGGCAACCTTTCGGATGCCCCTAACTTGCTGTTTTCCAGGTATCTCCATCAGCATCATAAAGGTGGCTGGTCGCTGCACAAACCTGCACCATATCAGTTAGAAGTCGATATGAGTCACTTGTTACGAAGCTTCGAAGGCCTGTTGACTTATCTCTGGTCTTGTTTTTCTCTCCATAAATGAGAAATTGGCTCTGCCTTGTTGGCAGCTTGCTGTTGTTTTCTGGGTAACCTCCAACACTCGAGTGCTCCTTGATGACATTGCATTCGTTGCTCCACCATTGATAGTGCAGGCTCTGGGTGGGGATGAATTCCCCCTCACCACTGGGCGTTTCCTTTGAGACAGCAGTTGACTATCTCGCGAAACTGACTGCTGATGAACTGATGGCTGCAGGTCTGCCTGTGAAGCGAGGACTGAGCTTGCCAGAGGTACACCTGGGACAACGATGTGGGTATATGTCCATGATTTCAAGCTCATCACAAAACTTCTCGTGATGTAAGAGCGGATCATTGAAGGTTAGCACGGTAACAGATTGACCTCGAGATGCAAGAGAAAGGAGGGAGGGACATGAGCCTCTGTTTCCTTCTGGATATGTTTTTAGTGTGAATGATGTCGTATATGCTTCATACTTAGTGATAGTATGCTATGGTTAAAGAGTGGCATGCAAATCAATCATGAATAGTACGAATAAAAGATTATTGCACGCCCTTCGTGTCCTACTCTGAGCAACTGTTCTAGTCTCCACATTCTCATCAGTTATCTACTTCCTGAAATGTCATGGAAATCTATGTCGTCAGTCAATTTACTCAATCAAATCAGGAGATTTCTTTTTGCATTTGTAATTCTAGCAAGATTGACCAAAGTAAATGAATACGAAGAATTTTTAAAATTTTACATCATGGAGGTGAATGTTGAGGATTCAGAATTAATGAAATTGAATAAAGACAAGTTTTTTCTCAGCCACCAAATAAGAACATGTGGTGTTGATATAAAATAATGGCATTCTTTTAATTATTTGATTATCCATGATTTCAATAATGCAAAGTAAAGTGATTTGAAATGGAGGTATCTTCATTGTTCAAAACATTCAAGGGTTTGGAAATATATGATTTATTCAACATTTAATGTAACAAATCAAACAATGTGTTTATTGCCATCTGTACTACCAATAAATACTAATAACTTAGACTCTTTGTAAAGTAATAATATGTTTATGAGCAAAAAAATCAAGGATTAATAATTATTTATTAGACAAAAGATGTAATTATTTAAAAATCTTGTGGTGAGTGTAAAAAGTTATGAATATATGTGGTTATATTTATAACAAGCCTTCTTTAAATATTCTTAGTGTTGCTTTATAACACATTTTAGAAGATTTGATTGCCAACTTTCTTACTCTAAATGAAAACAACTTGATTCACTATTTAAACTATAAATAAATAAATAAATATACAATTGCACATAAAAAAACCACTTTAAACCATTGTTGGACATAAATATAAATTTTAATTAGATAACTCTATTAAATGCTATTTATTACAAGATTGTTCAAAGTTTGATAATTAAACATGCATTTAAACTATATAAATGTTGTTTGCTACATTCGAATTGTACAATGTAAATTTCTTTTTGAAAGTTAGCAAGAACAAATTGATGGAAGACGATGGTAATCCTGGGAAGATCAAACAGAAAATGGACCCTAATTTGTTAATAAGTCAAGCTCAAGACACTTTTACACATTTTTTCATGAGGAAAACTGGTAAGTAATCCTTGTTACCAACCTTCACAAAACTGTGGAGTTTTCCATGGAGGCATTGTGAAGAGGTGATTCAACAATAGCCTTCATGAGAATGGAAACGAGGAATGAACATGAAGAGAGTTTTATTCAAGCGTTTGTGCTTCGAAAGGGGAAGACAACTCATATGTGTTTGTTTGAACTGCAGGGTTCGAAACGCTTTCCCTTACCTGAACTACAGTGCAGGATTAACCTTAATATGCTACAGGAACAATGCTTGAGTTAATTCAAGCCCAAGGGTAGTAGATCTAAGCAAGAATGCAGCCAGTGCAAGAATACCCAACTCGGTGAAACCACAGGGCCAGACTGGAAAAAAACAAGAAGACGCCAAACCAGGCTTAATGATACAAGCGCCGGATGACGCTAATCAGACACTCTAGATAAAGTCCGCCTGCTTATGAAATCAGCTTCACGCTTCCAGTTCAGCGGCAGATGGAATGAACCAGGAGAACTTGCAGTGTTTGTAGAGGTTGCCGATCCATGAGTTGGAGCTACGTCGGAGAAGGTCTTGCCCTTTGCTGGTGAATTGGCCCCAAGTGGACGATGAGAGAGACTAGCGTTGATTGTCAGGTTAACCGTTCTGCGGACTGTTAAGGTCTCGAGCTTGGGAGGAGGGTTCGTGGCAAAGTATTTAGAATTCATGAAACCCGGTTGCGAACTCTACGATGGATCAGAAACAACTACAAAGGTTTACTATTTCACCTGTTGCCATTCTACAGGGAATTTCTCGAGTCCACGTCCCGGGATGGTGGCCCAGCGAAAGACCGTCCAGAAGTCAAGCGTCCGGATGGATTCATTCCAATGCCTCCAGTTGGATTCTTCCTCCCGAACGCTCCATCTAGTCTCCGAGCTGAGCCGGTGCAGGATTCCCAACCGCATCATCTTAGTCTGCGCCCTTACGTCCCTGACTACGCCGTGGAAGTCCCCTTGTGGCCCCCGCAGGAGGATCACGTCTCCCTTCACGGGCCACGGTGGAATGCACTTGGGATTCGAGCCGAGTGTGTGCGCTCCAGCCACCCTGTTCCCTTTGCTACTCCGGTACTGGCTTGCCTGCTGCGTTGTTGATGGGAGCTCTGACTCGAGCATTAAGGCATCCTTGTCCTCTTCCCAGTCTTCCAAGCTTTGCTGCGGTGGCATATGCGTTGGCAACTGTGAAAGCATCCTCGGTGAAAGCCTAGGAGGAGCTTCCTTAATGGAGGCCCTAGGAGATTCTGATACAGCTGGTAAACGTGACTGGAAGGCAGCAGGCACCGCGGGTCGATGAATCTGCAAATTCATGTCATTTCGTTGTGCGTAGTGATCGTTGCGCATGTCTGCTTGCAGATCGCTGAGAACGTCGTGTTTGAGCAGATGATCGTTCGACATTGAGTTTTTCCGACTGTCAACCTTGTCGTTCTTGTCGGTGTTCCCGTTTTCGGACTCATTGTCGCACACACTAGCTGCGAAGGCTGTCACTAGACGACGCGGCGGTTGAATAGCCGCTTGACGGGCATTTAAAGGCTCCGGTTCCACATGGCCTTGCAACATGTGCACAACACGGCTCATGGCGGGACGTGATTCGGGATCGTCCTGTATGCACAGCAGGGCAACATGAATAGCTCGCACAGCGTCTTGTTTGTGGAAGTACTCCACCTCCTCAACGTGCAGCCGCTTGTCGAGAAGCTCCATTGTGCGACCTTCGCTCATGAGCTTAAAAGCCCAAGCTGGAAAGTACCACTGCTCTTTGCCGAGGGAGAAATTCGTGTTCTCGCGACCACTTAAGAGCTCCAGAAGCACCATTCCAAAGCTATAGACGTCCGTCTTGGCAGTCACAGCAGCGTGAGGGAGCAACCATTCCGGAGCTAGGTATCCAGGTGTACCACGCATGCTTGTCACCACCCTGCTTTGCTCTCTGTCCATCAACTTCGCGAGTCCGAAATCTGACAACTGCAACATAGCCACCACATACACAACAACTGCGCAATCAGATCGAATTCTCCGTCACGTCTAATTTCGTGCGCTACAACCCCCAATTTTTCCAACAAACACTCCTAATGTCCAGTTTGCTGCAACTTGTTCGACTTCGATCTCTTACCTTGGGGCAGAACTGATGATCGAGCAGAATGTTCTCGGGCTTGACATCCAAGTGAATGATATGGTCGCTGCACTCTTCATGCAAGTATGCCAAAGCTCTAGCGGTGCCCGCAGCAATGCTGAGGCGTTGTTCCCAATCCAGAAGTTTCTCACCTTGCTTCTTGCAAAAGAGCCAGCTATCCAAGCTACCGTTAGGCATGAACTCGTACACGAGCAGGCGATGGGAACCTTCGGAGCAAAATCCATGCAACCTAACAAGATTAAGGTGTCGGATGGCGCCCATGGACGAAACCTCGGCTCTGAATTGCTTCTCCCCTTGCACAGATGTTTTCTCGAGCATCTTCACAGCCACGCGGGTACCGTTGGGCAATGTTCCCTCGTAGACGGATCCAAACGCGCCATCTCCTAGCTTTTGAGAGAAATTCTTTGTGGCTTTCTGTAACTTGGAGTACGAAAAGCGAGGAGGAAGAATAGGAAGTGTGTCTAAGAATTCGGTCGGAGATTCATCTTCTTTTTTACCCGCACATAACATTGCTAGCATCGAGATTCCAGCCAAGGTGACAAGTGTCCCTGTCACGTATACACTCCATTGAAAACGTGAATCGCCTCCTCTGACAACCCTAGCCTGACATAACCACGGCTGGTTAAAAACAACTCAACCAGTAGGCTGCCTCCTTCATAACCACAACAAAGCCAGCCAATGATGAAGGCATGATAACTCCAGTGACAAGTAAAACATTTCCTTGACAATTCTGCCCAGTGTGTGTGAGCAATAAACCAAGGCAAGAAGTGGTTTACCTGTAATGATCGACGCCCCAATTGATTCAAGCCTGATCCAAGTGGCTGGATGGTCGACATTGGGCTCAAGGCAGACAGTGATAAATCGAACATCTTCGTGATGGATTTTTCTTCGGGAGGACGCATGCCGAAATGCTCAAACGACCGATTCGATTCCTTGTGTGGAGTAAGAGCGGCTTCATATTCCTGTGACAGTAGCGCAGGCCCCTTACTTGACAAGGCGCCAAACCACTTCACCGTTCCTAAACACCCTGAGAAAAAACCCCCTCTCAAAGCTACCGATTCACTCAGCCAAGATCTTGTGCTGATTGAAAGATTACAAGAAACACTTAAACATTCTCCCCGACTTTGCACAGAGGCCAAAAACGATGGCCTACTCGGGCTGAGCCAATACCATTTAAGGTACAAAAAAAGAGAAATCACAGCATCCGCTTTCAACTCACATCCGAGGTCTTTCACGTCACTTCGTTCGGAATTGGCCACGACGAAGCTACTACTGACCGAGGAATTGAAACGCAGACAAAAATCCAGTAATGACGGCGTGTCGCCGGAGTCGTTGCCGTCCAGGGTCGAATGGGAAGGCAGAATACTGCAGCTCAAAGAGTGAGTCCGCCGCGTTCCATCTTCAAAATCCTCGACACTCAAAATCGCTGACTTAGGCGAAGCCCACCCACAGCATTGCAAAAATTCGCCCATGATTGCAGACGCTTCAGTTAGGTTACCTCCAAACAAGCCATTGCTGTACGTCACTTTCACAACATCAGTGACACCCACCCCTTTCCAAACCCGCGGAACGAAAAACTCCAGAGGACCACAATCGCTACGCGCCTCAACGAGTTGCAACGTGAGCTGCGACAAAAACAACACCCACCCGACCATAGTCATCTTGGAGCTCCACCATGATGACCACCCTCTTGTCCTCATTGTCATTGTCGACATCAGAAATTACTAAACAACCTCGTCTCGGAATAATAATGAGGTCAAACCCATGCACTCATCCACCTTAATCCACCCATTGCACAGCTGGATCATCGACCAACACTTCCAAATCATCCAACTGAAGGCAGCTAGCTAATCCACCCCGGCTTCTCATGGAGCCAGCTGATCCCCGTTTCCTCCGAATCCTGCAACGCGATCTGCACAGCACCAATGCTTGCCAAGCAAGTTTTAGAACCGTCGGCACTACAACTGCTGCTTCTCTGTCCCAATAAAACCATCATTCAGGACAGTGTAACGCACAGGAATTAGAGCCGGAAAGAAATGAGTAATAGTCCAATACACTTGGCCCACTTGCTCCATGGCGCGCTGACATGCTTCAAGTGATGGGGAGCTGCGGCCCCGCCATGCGTGCGGTTGCACGTGTGGGGCCCCTGGGTCACTGATCATCGACCCACGGCTGCGAGGTGCGTCCACAGGTCGCACAACGAACCCAAGTAGCAACTCAAGTCCGGTTGTCCCTGGCTGCTCACATGAGACGGTTGCAACCCCCTAGAATGTGGCTGGGAACAATAAAATTTAGAACGTGGGTGGAGGCGGATCTACTTTTAAAAGCCACATCGAAATTTGACGACGACGGTTGGATTGATCTCACTCCCAACCTGAATGAAAACTTAGCACTGGTTAGCGCAGCACGATTCCTGGTTGAAAAGCGACCCCTTATATTCGCCGTGCGTCACAAAAATCAGCTGACTTTCATGGGGTTTTACCGAATCGCATAAAATAAATATAAGAAATGCAAAAAAGATATAGAAAACAATCCCCGCTGCAAGCGTCCGGACACCATACAGCTGCAAGCTTCTAACGTCAGCGATCACACGGTACAGTACCAGACGCTAGAATCAAATGCCAGAGTCGCTGTCCCCGTGACGGCGATTGTGAGTTACCCCGAGAATCAATGCGACCTGGTAACGTGGATGTGTCAGCGGCTTGTGTCAGATCCGAGTGTGGGCGGAACTGCGCGCATTCAGGGCGCTGACCAGGTACATGCATGGCGGTCTCGATCCATGGATCGCCTCATCGACCCCGCGATTTTAAGGTCCGCATTCCGAAAAAGAGTCCCCGCTCGCGTCGGTCCGCGCTATATTTTCAGCCGCGTCGATATCTAAACTGATCGATTTGGTGCGAGCTTGCTATTTCCCCCCCTCGCGATCAATTGCCCGCGGCGTCGTCGCCGTGAACCTGGACGGTCACCCATGCCCGTGCCGCGCCTAACCCCACCTCGTCGTTGACTGTAGCTAATGCTTCATCTTGGTATGGGGCCCTATTTTAAACTTGCATTCCAAAGGCCATTCAGATTATCTAGTGGGGGAATCTCTCATCCATGGGCCTTTTTGCACACACTTACTCTCTCCGTGGAAATTACGCTGTAAGTGGGAACTGTAAAGCGTAAAAGCTGCATGGAAGTATCCATTGGTAAAGCGTTGCAATGTAGTAATAGGGCTGAACAAGTGTAGAGTTTGGCTAATTTACATATTGAAGGGGTTCAATATAGGTACTATGACATGATTATGATTATTTTAAAGCAGAGAATTATTGTTGGATTCTTGAAGGTATTTGCATTTTATTACTTTTGATGTGATGGAAGATAAAAGAGATTGGTGTATGTCAATTGTTCTTTACTAAAGACTTTAAATGTGCTTTTTGCATTTGATATATATATACACACACATATATATGATTGTGAAACTCTTGGAAAATTTATTCAACAAATAATAATAATAATTGTAGATTCTTTGTTAAGATAATTCTACATTAGTACCAAAATATATCTTTGCTATATATTAATAACTATCAAAGCATTCTGAAAATATAAATTTTAATATATATATATATATATATATATATATATGCTCAAGCTACATATATATTCTAAGTTGTTATATGCATACCTAAGAAAGTAGAAGCCTGAGATTACTTGGTTTGCTAAATCAATTAGCAATTGACCACTTATGACTTTCATTGCAATTCATTGTTTATATTGTGATTTACTACTTGCATCTCTCTCTCTTTCTATCCTCTCTCTATATTGTTCAAGGTGTTGCTTGTAATTCACCTCTCATAACTCACATATTTCAATTCATTGCTTGTATCTCTCTTCTTTACTATCTTCTTCTCTTTCTTTTTCTCTCTTCATCTTTTTTACTATTCTTGTTGCACTTTCTTTTTCTTTCATAATGAACCTTCTTTAATAACACTTAAAATAAACTTACAATTTAAGAAAAGAGTTTCTCAAAGATGTCTAGATTTATGTAATAAATTGAGGCTATGTTATTATAATTAAATGCTCAAAGAAAGATTGTTACGTTTGGTATTATTGTGACTACAACAATAATTACATAAGCATTGTTTCTAAATCTTTGCAAAAATGAGAGAATTGAACTTAAAAAATAATTTATTACAAACATATATATTTGATCCAATAATTACCTATATGATTAAATAGAAGTAGATAAATATAGATTAATTTTATAATATCTTCTAAAAAAACTTTATAGATGCAAGTTTGACTATACATGAATTTATAATTGATTGTTAGGTTAGAAACTTGGTCAATAAGTTAACTACCTATCATACATATTGATAACTTGTGGAACAAGCTAACTATGTGGCATACATATAGAAAACTTGTCTTACAAGTTAAGACATGTGTCTAACAAAGTCAACATAATTTGGAGATCCTATAGAATATTGTCATGTAGCTTCTAGTTAGGTAGTATATATGGAAACAAGAGTGAAGCCTCCTTTATTTTTATCAATATTTTTTTAGTTTTTAGTCTTGTTTTAAGATTTTTTAGTTTTCTTGTCTTTGACAATAGCCATTCTAACTCAATATATTATCATCTTTGAAAGATTTCCTAATCTTTTTGAGTGACACTAGAGTATATTGAAATTTTATTTTTTTGAGATTCATGTCTTTGATAGTTTAACAAGAGTGTTAATTTATTATTCTTGTCTTGTTTTAGAAGTGAGTGGATTATCCTACTTCTATTGTTGTATTTTGAAGGTTGTAGATTATCCACCTTTAAACAAACTTTTTAATTTTCTAATGTTGATTTTTTCTTTAAAGAGATTGGATTACTCTTCTTTGTAGAAAATTTTAATTAATATTTGAGGTTGCAGATTAATCTCCTCTAATTTAATTTTTAAATTTTGTTTGAATTTTTTATAGAAAGAAAGATTATAGATGCTATTTCAGCAAAACTGATAATAAATTTATAACTATTGTAGATCTTCATGATCTTATTAAAAATCTTAGAGTGGATATTTCATACATCACCAATGTCAACCATAGAAATGTTAATTCTATGCCTATGGAAGAAGTTTAGAGTCTACATTAAAAAGTTGTTTAGTTGAAGAAAACAAGTACATTGACCTCACAACCAAATCCAAGAAGTTTTGCTTTTATAAGTATAACAAGAACAAGGATCAGTATGTCTAAAAAGTTTAATAAAACAAGATCAAAATTTTGAAGATTTTTTCAACAAGTCAAGGTCTATCTAAGGTTGCATCCCTTCTAATATCTTGATGGATTTACTCAAGTGAATTCATAAGAGCACTTCTATTTGAAAGTGCTTTCTCTTAGTTTGCTCCTTTGATAGAAAATGATTTATGACTCTTTTATAATTTGAATTCATTCCTAGAAATGTTTACAACCACATTTGGAGAAAGTAATTGAAAAAGAATAATAAAAACCAAACTCTTATTTTTACAATAAAGATCACGATCAACTATCATATATGTTGTTGAATTCCAAAACCTTGCTTATAATATGGATTGGAATGACAAAGCCCTTATCAATCAATTTTGATATGGATTGAAGTTTAACATCAAAGATTTATTATTAATAATGCCAAAAATAAAATCTTTAGAACAATTTATTGCTCAAGCCATTGCATGCAACAATTAATTATTTGAAAGGCATCAAGAACAAAGACTTGGTTGGAGAGGAACAAGTCAAGTAATAATGGTAGCTCTCAAGTTTTTAGAAACTTATTCATCAAGGTTAGAATCAATATAAATTAAAATGATACATTTTAAATCCCTCACAAAGTAAAAAAAGATTCAACATTATCAATAGGATTTATATTTATATTATGGAGAAGCTAAGTACACTGCTCAATATTATTAAAATAAATAAGACAATCACAAAATGAAGAGCACAGTTATCAAAGAAGATAGTATATTAAAAAATAAGTTTTTCTAATTACAATAGGAACCATGTGGCTAGAATCATATGCAACATCTAGTAAAGGTCTTATTCTCAAAGAAAAAAAAATCTTCAATACACTTCAAATATTACTCAAGAATCTGATTCATCCATTTTATTTAACCATCAATTTGAGGATGAAAAATTGAAGAAGGTTTTATATCCACCTTTAAAATGTTAAAAGGGTTCTTCAAAATCTTGATACAAATTGACTTCTCATATTCGATATAATTTCATTGAGTAATCCATGATAACAATAGATATTGTCAAAAATAAGCTTAGTTATTTCTTCACCTATGATAAATTTTGTATGTAATACAAAATAAGCCATCTTAATAAAATGATCTACTATCACAAATATAGAATCATAAAAATCTAAGAGTGAAAGATTTGCAATAAAATCCATAAAAACAAAAGACCATGATTTTTTTGGAATAAGTAATGGCTAAAGAAGTCCATAAGATCAACAATGAAGAGTAAAATCTTAAATAAATATCACATGATTGTTCAAAGTTTTTGACTATCTTCCATATTTAAGACTATAAAAAATCTCTTGATATTAGTTCCAAAGTCTTGTTGTATCCAAAATGTTTGGTTGCTAAAAAGTCATGACAAGCTTAAAAAACATGAAATTATGCTTTGCTTTTTGGAATGTATAATTATCTCTCAAAATAGAATAGATTATTTTTGAACTCAAACTTAGAAGTATCATGAGACTTAAAAGAATTATTTTTGATATCATAAGCAAGTAGATTAAACGACATATTTAATTGAACTTGCTTGACAAAAGTTGAATCAATAATCAATATTGATTTTATTACTCAAAGATGAAAATACTTTAGCTCCAAGAATTTTTTTTTGTTGATTAAATATTTCATTTCATTTTTTGGTATAAGATAAAAATATCTAAAAAAGGCATCTCACAAATCTTATTTTTTGAATTTATAAGTAATCTTGAAATTAAATCTTCATAAAGACATACTCCAACAAGTTTGACAACAATTCAAAACATGTATTGACTTGAAATATTTGAAGTTCTTGTAATCCATATATATATAGTGATTGGACTAGAAGCGCCTTT